CCCTGCAAAAACAAGTTAGACATCCTCTACTTTATTGTTGCAAGTTTTACATGGCTGCTACAGGCTTCTAGTAAGAACCATTCTTACCTACGTATCAAAACCACAACGGTGATTTTTGAAGTTTGCTATTTTAACCTTCAACAAGGACCGGCCATAGTCAAATTCGATTCAACTAAAGTTGGAGAAACAGACACCCACTAGCCACCTTTATGCAAAACTAGTCGCATGTCTGTCAGTGGAACCGGTCTCATGAACGTGGTCATGTAAGGTTGGTCCGGGCCGCTTCATCCAACAATACCGCCGAATCAAAATAAGACATTGGTGGTAAGGAGTATGACAATCACCACCCACAACTCTTTGTGTTCCACTCGTGCATATCATCTACGCATAGACCTGGCTCTGATGCCACTGTTGGGGAACGTAGCATGCAATTTCAAAAAAATTCCTACGATCACGCAAGATCTATCTAGGAGATGCATAGCAATGAGAGGGGAAGAGTGTGTCCACATACCCTCGTAGACCGAAAGCGGAAGCGTTAGTTTAACACGGTTGATGTAGTCGAATGTCTTCTCGATTCAACCGATCAAGTACCGAACGTATGACACCTTCAAGTTCTGCACACGTTCAGCTCGATGACGTCCCTCGAACTCTTGATCCAACAAAGTGTTGAGGGAGAGTTTCGTCAGCACGACGGCATGGTGACGGTGATGGTGAAGTGATCCGCGCAGGGCTTCGCCTAAGCACTATGACAATATGATCGAAGGAGTAAACGGTGGAGGGGGGGCGCCGCACATGGCTTGGAACAATTGTTGTGTGTTGGAGGCACCCTCGCCCCCATATATATAGGAGGGAGAGGGGAGGAGGCCGGCCTAGGGGCGCCCCAAGTGGGAGGAGTCCCACTTGGGCTCCTAGTCCAATTCGGCCCCTTTCCTTTTATCGGAGGGGGAAATGGGGAAGGAGAGGGAGAAGGAAAAGGAAAGGGGGGCCACGCCCCCTCCCCTAGTCCAATTCAGACTCCTCCCTTGGGGGGCGCCACCCTGGTGCGCTGGCTTGCCTCCCTCCTATGGCCCATGTGGCCCATATCTTCCCCCCGGGGGGTTCCGGTAACCCCCCGGTACTCCGATACGTACCAGAAACATTCTGAAACACTTCGAGTGTCCGAATACTATCGTCCAATATATCAATCTTTACCTCTCGACCATTTCGAGACTCCCCGTCATGTCCGTGATCTCATCCGGGACTTCGAACAATCTTCGGTCACCAAAACACATAACTCATAATACGAATCGTCATCGAACGTTAAGCGTGCGGACCCTACGGGTTCGAGAACTATGTAGACATGACCAAGACACCTCTCTGGTCAATAACCAATAGCGAAACCTAGATGCTCATATTGGTTCCTACATATTCTACGAAGATCTTTATCGGTCAAACCGTAATGACAACATATGTCATTCCCTTTGTCATCGGTATGTTACTTGCTCGAGATTCGATCGTCAGAATCTTCATACCTAGTTCAATCTCGTTACCGGCAAGTCTCTTTACTCGTTCCATAATGCATCATCCCGTAACTAACTCATTAGTCACATTGCTTGCAAGGCTTATCATGATGTGCATTACTGAGAGGGCCCACAGATACCTCTCCGATACTTGGAGTGACAAATCCTAATCTCGATCTATGCCAACCCAACAAACACCTTCGGAGATACCTGTAGAGCATCTTTATAATCACCCAGCTGTGTTGTGACGTTTGATAGCACACAAGGTATTTCTCCGGTATCCGGGAGTTGCATAATCTCATAGTCAAAAGAATATGTATAAGTCATGAAGAAAGCAATAGCAATAAACCTTAACGATCATTATGCTAAGCTAACGGATGGGTCTTGTCCATCGCATCATTCTTCTAATGATGTGATCTCTTTCATCAAATGACAACACATGTCCATGGTTAGGAAACTTAACCATCTTTGATTCACGAGCTAGTCTAGTAGAGGCATACTAGGGACGATGTGTTTTGTCTATGTCTTCACACATGTATCGAGTTTCCGATTAATATAATACAATTCTAGCATGAATAATAAACATTTATCATGATATAAGGAAATATAAATAACAACTTTATTATTGCCTCTAGGGCATATTTTCTTCACAAACAAGCATAACCCAAGGCACATCAGCTTTATGGATAAATTTGTGCAAGAATTTGAAGAGCAGTGCTTTGTTTTGGACCTTGAGATCGATTACACCCAGCCCACCTTTTTTTGGTCGACAGACTAGATTCCAAGCCGCCAGAGAGTAAGATTCCACGTCACGATCAACCACCTTCCTCCATAAACAGTGTCTTCTAGCACGATCAAAAGCATTAATGGTTTTTAGTGGGACTTTCAAGACACACATCGCAAATGATAGGATCGATGAGAGAGCCGAGTTAATAAGCTATAAGCATTCGCCATAGGAAAGACAGATTGCAGTAGTCATAAGTCTTCTGTCAATACGATCCACCAAGGGCATTAGATCTCTCATAGTAGGCCGAGTAGTTCCTAAGGGAAGACCACAAATGATGTATTGTCTTTATTAGTATAAATGCACTTGTATTTATTAGCATATCCATAATCAGTTAGTCTACAATGCCGCAACTTCAAATTGTGACATAGTTTAGCCCTATTTTCTCTCATAAATGTGTGGATGTCTAGCCTGTCTTCTAGAAGCGCACTTTTGGTCATGTATTTGCAAGAAAAAATATAGACATATTATTTCCCACCCAAATATATAGTATTGGAAACATCTAGCTACACAGGTACACCAACACATGTATAGGAGTTCTACAATCTCTCTACTTGAGGAGAGACATAGCTTTCTAATATCAAAATTTGGTTCACCCCCTCACCTTCGAAGAAAAATTATGCAACATGTCATACTAATCTACACCTTGCAGAAAATGCATCGACCCGAGAAATATTTGGATTCATATGAGCATGGATTTTATTCAAAATCGCACTTATCTACACTATGTATGACATGCAACACAAGTTGGCATCTTCTTTGGTTGTTTGCAAGCTAGATTTAGCATCTTGTTAGTACTCGGCTAACTAGTTATGAACATTGATCGAAGTACGCCGTGTTTTAATTTTAAAATTCATATACTTCTTTTGTATTATTCATCAATGTGTCGAGCAACAATTTCTGCAAAAAAAAATTGTCGAGCAACAAATGAAAAACTTCACTTGTTGCTTGGCAGATCTATGACGAATAATACAGATGAAGTATATAGAGCAACATGTGAAGTTACAGGAATTTTCAAATGTTTCTAACGTAATTTTTACTCTTGCAGTATGAACTATCATGTGCAATATGTATGATTTGGTGGATCAAGATGATAAGCTTCTACACTACCTAGCCCATAATTATAAGGGAACGGTCGTCTGGTTGTTTCTTCAATACAAAAGGAAATGGCTAAGGGGTTTTCCTTTCTAGAGAACTTTCTTAGTTATGAATCATCACAGATTAATCACTTGTAAATTAGTCCACATAGATATTTACCTTTTTATGTATTTCCTCTTGACTTGCATGCAAAGGATTTGCCAACTTGAGCGGAATCAACATTGAGCTTTACTTTGGATAGCACGCCCATTAATTTGCTCCATATGTGCATATTGATTGAATGACGTGGGGGACTTTTAAAGCATACATTTCACATTTTTTTTGAAAAAAAAACTTCAACAAAAAGCTAAGTAAATTTTTGGCACTAACCTTATTGAACAACAATCTTCTATGTAGGAGAATTATCATTGTACTGTAAAATTTTGATGTTCTAATTTGGACCTCTAGAGAATGAAATCTCATTGTCATGTGCCCCTCAAGAATCTTTTTGGTTCCTTTACGACCCCTGGTAAGAAAAAACAGATTGAAAAATCCATCGCATCTTTTTTTTTACATTTCACTTCCAACGATCCATTTAGCTTTTCACTTTTCGTTCTTTGCTCCATTTCTTTTACACCTTTTATTGTTTTCCATCCAATGAGTTGCCTCAACTTTCAAACAGAAAAAACACATCATTAAATAGAGAGTGACATCTTTATGACTAATCAACTTCATTTTTCAAACTCTGTCGAGTTGTTGGATTTATAAGCCTACATACTAAATATTTAATACATTTAAAACATTAAACATAACTATCATGCAAATATTTAACTACCATACAAAGCTTACACCATAACTGCAATGAACTCAACAACTTTGCATTGGTAAAATAATTACCAAAAATATTTTTCATTACCACTCAAGTGAAGCACCACATATGCATAGCAAACAATTAGGAATCCATGCTCTTCAAGATGCAATAACTAAACAACGTATACACCATATATCATACTACCACAAAAATAACTACCTATATTAGTTTTGGCCATAAGAATTATCGTCGTTATGGTAGAAATGCACTTCTATTTAATGAGAAATCTACATCCATCAATTTAATATGTGCTGCTACAACTTAGAACCGTAACAAAGTTTAGGTTTCGTTCTCTCATACATGTCTGAATTTGTAACTTAAGCTCACTTTGATCATGTATTTGTAAGGAAAAAAATACATGATCAAAGTGAGAAAAATATATAGACATATTTATTTCCAACCCAAATATTTAGTATTGGAAGCATCTAGATACAGGTACAACAACACATATAAATGAATTCTATAATCTCTCTACTCGAGAGGAAACATAGCTTTTTAATACTCCATCCGATCCAAATTAACTGTCGCACCTCTAGTACAACTTTGTGGATCTGAGTAACACAATTTGATTCACCCCTTGACCTTTGAGGGATAAATATGCAACACATAACACTATTCTACACCTTACCAAAATGCATCAATTCAAGAATTAACTGGATTTAAACGAGCACATATTTTATTAATTGGTGCACTTATCTACACTATGTACGACATGCAACACAAGCTGACATCTTCTTCAGTTGTTTGCAAGCTAGATGTAGCTAAACTACTAGAGGTTTGATCCGCTTGAGCTGTCGACCATGGAGGCATCATCAAGCAAAGTTGAGTCCCCTACCCCAAAATCTTGGTAGTCGAGCAGCCAATCCGTCGTTCCAATGTCCCACGACATGGTGGAGGGAATGCCATTGAACTTGTCAACATCATTTTCGACTGTGAAGTCAAGCCACGGCTCTTCGACGATGCCAATGGCAGGGAGGTCATCCTCCTCTTCCAGCAGCCATTTCACTAGTGGATCCTGATCATGGATGTTGTTGCTACCACCCGTAGTGTTGTCGGTGTTTGTGCCCGATAAGTTCGGTGGGCTAGACTCGCCGCCGACCGATGACGCGTCCTTGTCCCTGTTGATGTGGGTGTCCTGTTGCTGGCATTGTTGCCCATTGTTGGACTTGCATTCTATCGTGATGGTCGAGGATTGTGCAGACGTTGTGGATAGGCTAGCTTGTTGCGGCTGCTTTCGGACTTCGAGGGGCACGTGTGTGATCGGGTCAATTCCCATCTTGATGAGCTTCTTCTTTATGTGTGTGTTCCAATGGTTCTTAATCTCGTTATCTGTCCTTCCTGGTAACTTGGCAGCAATCTTGGACCATCTGCATAGAGCCATTGACAAAATTAAAACCAAATAGTAGTACACATATGGAAAATAGACAAAAGCTTTCAAATAGCGCATTCAAGATTTCATAACTCTTGAGGATTATTAAATAAATTATCTGCATTGACCGCCAAAAATAGTATTTGTCACGGAAAACATTTTAAATTATAATGATTTGTTCTATATTTTTCACTAACATTTCTGTATGAAACTTTGTCCATATCTTCCAAAACATAATCGAATTAGAGAAAAATTAGTACCTTTTAATTCAAGACTATTAGAGCATCATGCAAACATGATGCTTATGTAAGAATTAAAGCCAACGGAGTACGTTCGTCCTTGTCACTGATTCATGGTTTCTTTCTAACGTTGATTACATTTTTACTATGCATGCCTTTTTAACTAGCTACATATATGCATGTCACAACTAGTCAACACTTTCATGAACAACTTGGGGATATGGAAGTACCACGAGATTCAAATATCACTATCCACTACATCGACATCATCTGTCTCTTAAAGCTGAGTAGCCTTTTATCAATGACAAAATAATAAAAGTGGTTGGTAGAGTGAGAGAGTGGCCTTTAAAAAAGTTCCAAGCGTGAGAGGCAGCTCGACCCCTGAGGGCGATGCTTTCCATTTCTGAATCCAAGGCTTAGGGTTTTCCTCAGCCACACATGGAAAGCTAGTGCTACTACTGGTGGCTGCTGGCTCGATCTAGGTCACTCATCTTGAGAGTGATGGATACAAGAAAAAGAAAAGGTAGTGGTTATTGCTGGAATTTTTTGCTGCTATGCCACTAGGCTCGAGAAGGACAGTCAATATATATACTGACACTTTGTTTTGCGGAAAGGGGATTCCCGCGGCCTCTGCATATACTGATATTCCATGTTTAGGATTCCTAAAGGCTAGAGCTAGACCAACAATGCTAATTTAAAGTTTGGGACATGAATTAGTTGCTTTTATGAGTGTTAGTTACCATTCATACAAACATGGCATGAGCTATGCCTTTGCATTAAGGATCATTCATCTGTTCCGCCATAGTTCCTTTTCTGTCCTATCTACATCAGTTCGTGTGTACGGTACATCAGTGGTACACGTAGGTCATAAACCTCATGCGAAGGCAATAGGTCACCAGCATGTCACACTTATTCTTCGATGACATATTTTGCCATGGTTTTACAATTTCCAGTGGTATCTGGAGTATTTATAAATCTTCACAATTACTCCCTCCGTCCTACAATATAAGATTGTTTTTCTTATATTGTGAGACGGAGGGAGTAGATACTCGATTCTATTACTTGCTCAACGGAAATAACATGTTCATCACAAGCAGCAGAGGGGACTACTACTTAAGTCACCACTCCCATATATATTATTTCAGTGGTGGCTAATAATTCCCTGCTTCCTAGTACTGCCTAGGCACGATCGATGTCACATGCATCGATCTCTGTCTAGCATTCCAGCTACGTACTAGCTCCTGTCAAAAACCCGAAAAGGTACATACATACTGCCTTGTAGCTCACACCGCTGATCGATCACTTCGTTTTCAAGCAATTTAAGAATTTTGTGTGTGTGCTCTTGACAGTTGAAGTTGTTTGGACTCAACAGCGATCGACGGAGACTTCACAGTATAACCTATATACATCATGGCGACATGGCTAATGGCTACTCTCTGGCTAGCTCGATCCCAAATATTATTGGTCAGGTCCTTTTCGTGCACATTAACCAGGCACCATATGAATGCATGGATATCGATATCCTACCTTTACTCTAGCGGATTAATCCTGTTCTTACCCTAGCTAGCTAGAGGATAAGCTTCAGACCACCCTATATCGCTCCGTGATCATCGATCCATATATGCATGCGTGCATGCATGTGGAGACTCTCATGCATTTTCCCTTTCTGCATATGTACATGCAAGTACGTGGGATGAGAAAAGATATGTACCTGTTGCCGAGCTTGGCGTGGAGGTCGACGACGAGCCGCTCCTCGTCGTCGGTGAGGAGGCCGCGCTTGAGGTCGGGGCGGAGGTAGTTGGTCCAGCGGAGGCGGCAGCTCTTGCCGCAGCGCAGTAGGCCGGCCAGCTTGGGCACGGCGCGCCAGCAGCAGCGGCCGGCGTTGCCGAGGATGAAGGCCATCAGCTTCCGGTCCTCCTCCGCCGTCCACGGCCCGCGCTTCACCCCCAGCTTGTCGCAGCACGGCTGCCGCCCCATCGTCCCCTATCTCCCGCTGCTGCTGCCGGCGCCGGCTCTTAAAAGGCCGGCCGCGAGCGCGCCACCAACCCCTTCCTCGGCGGTGCGGTGTGATCTGATGGCTTGGGCAGGGGAGGCGGGGTAGCGAAGGCAAAGCATGCAGTGCACATCGATCGAACAGTGTGACAAGTGCGTCGGAGCTGCAACCGAAGCGTGTATATATATAGCGCTCCGTCCATAGGCTAGCTATAGATCTCTTTTTAATCTACGGTGATGGTGAGAGGGAGGGAGGAGACAGGCCGAGCCCCACGAGGAGCACTTGGTCGTCCGAGAGACACCACTCTCATACTGTACACCTTGCTGCTTTCGAATCCTGCTTTGTACAAAGGCTGTTACTAGTCTCTCGCAGTTTCTGTTTCCCCAACAGTCAAAAAAAGGCTCTTGCTTTACTCGACCGATCGGCTTGGGTGTTGGTCTCGTCACATGTCGAAAACGATGTGTATACATACCGATACTGGAGACACATACACATTCCATATAGGAACAGCAACATGTGTACTACTATGTGCCACCTAATAGCACATGCCACGAAAGTAGATTGGTTTCTTCTCACTTGGAAGTTGCAATAGTTGCCAATTAGGGTATATATGCCGTCGCTATTAAGAGTAATCTACCTCTCTCAATCGGAAGGTAGAAAATAAACGATAGAAGAAGGAAACAACATTTATATTTTGCTGCCGCATTTACCCCGAAGTTTTTCCCGTGGGAAAAACTTCCGACCTATTCATCAACTATCAAGGTACGTGGTACAAAGAACACCCGAATAAAAATTACATCCAAGTCTATAGACCACCTAACGACGACTACAAACACTAGAGCGAGCCAAAGGCGTGCCGCCGTCATCGGCCCTTCATCATCGGAGCCGGGCAAACCTTATTGTAGTAGACAGTAGGAAAGTCGTCATGCTAAGGCCTCAGAGGACTAACGCTCCAAAACAGCAACCGCTCTCGATGAAGAGAAGCTTAGATCGAAAAGATCCAACCTGTAGACACACAGAGATATGAGGGAAGACCGGATCCAAACGGATCCACCGAAGACAAACGCCAGCCAAAATCCGCTGAGATCCATCAGAGGCAAACCTCCACACGTCCTCCAACGATGTTGAAAGCACCAATACCGGGAAGGGGGCTAGACGGGAAGAACCTCATTCCATCTTTCGGAAGCTGCCACCGCCTTGTCTTTCTGAGTAGGACACAAACCCTACCAAAGCTTAAAAAATACCTGAAAACTGAGCCATCCCGCCGGCAAGGACCGAGATCCACGGCGCCTCCATGGCCCTAAAGCCACAGGAGACAAGGCAGACCAGCGGCTACGCGGCTGGTGGCAGCGGAAACTCTAGCATTGGCGGCCCTTGCGTGTGTAAGGAGCTAATGGGTATTCATTTACCCCGAAGTTGTTACATTACACCATTTTTTAGCCTAGTTAACATGTTTCTTCGATTTTGACCGGTTAGGCCCATTTGTTAGGCCAACATAGCTGGTGACTTGGATGTCAACTTGAAGGCGCAAACCAGCTAGTGTGTCCTCCGAAGCTGAAACAGCGGTGGCTACCTCTCCATTGACTAACTCCTCCTTGCTTCGTCCTTATTCTAGCGGTGTGTTATTTGCTATTGTCGACAATCTAGTGGAGATAGGTCTTCGCCAGTTTCATGAATCTTCAATTTGACCTTATGATGTGTTGGTTCCTTTGCGAGGCGGAGAATGTTATTGTTCCTTTGTGGTGGCAGCGGGTAGTAATTTTATTCTTTGCCGGTCGACCTCTCCCTGATGAAGGATCTGATAGAGATGTTGTTCAACCAGCTTTAAAACCCTTAAGAAGAATGCCCTCAATGGAGTTCTCATGGCTGCGCTGATGATTCCTTGATGCAGCAAAGTTTGCTTCGGTGTGTGTGGTCTCGTCGAAGAGAACTCTTCCTTTGTTATTTCTATATGTCTTGTCAGGTAACTACACCCACGTGACCGGACCTGCATTCGGTACCGACGGTAAAGGGTCAATCACCCTAGTCTTCTAAGCCATATGCACCGTGTGGCTCAGAGAACTAGGGCTGCAAATGAGTCAGCAAGTTGGCCTAGGCTTAGCTCAACTCATACTAAAATTCGAGCGAGCTTAAAATGCACTAAGCTCAAGGTCAAGTTGTAGAAAGTGGCTCGTACTCAGCTTATATCTATCTCGAGTCGATCTCAAGCTAAATAAGATGTTTTTTCAATTATTTATTTTAAAACAAATTTTAATGCAAGGTAGGCCACAACCGAAAAAATCACTATAAAATGCGACATATTCTTTCTCAATTGAAAACTAGTATTTAATAACAAGAGATTGTGGATAGAAGACAACAAAGGTGTGTCATCTCTCAAACTTTGGCCCAAATAACAAGATATTAAACACACGGTTGGCCTCGTGTCATATTGAGAAAAATAATTCCACACTTAATTTTCTGTTTGTTAGTAGGTAAAATGAAGAAAAATATTGTATAGAACATATATCGCAATGGATGATCCTAATTCTTTGAAATAGACATGATGATTATTTAATACACTTGTACGATATCGAGCTATCGAGTTAAAATCGAGCGAGTCAATGTTGGCTCAAGATCGACTCTTTTCTTGATCGAGCTACGTAAAGTGCTCATGTTCGGCACATTTCTTTTCGAATCGATCTCGGTCTGAGTTAAAATACGAGTCGATCTCGAGCGGCTCACGAGGCTCGAGCTTTTCTTACAGCCCTACAGAGAACGGGGGTAAATGAAGTTTCTTTTTCTGACAAATTATGTTAGCGCGAGCATGCGAACATGAGAAATCCTTCTTATGCTTAGTTTTTTTTTGCCAAGATTTGCCATGTGATATTACCATGCTCATGACAATAGTATAATTTATCCAAAACGTCAGAATTGCCCTGTTTAACATTTCCTTAAGGCCTTGTTCGGTTACACCCCTCCACAAAAGGATTGAAGGGGATTTGGGGAGGTTTTGACTTGTAGAGGATTAAATCCACTTTAATCCCTGCCAAACCCTTCTCAACCGAACACAGCCTAAAGTTTCTTGTATTGTTTCCTCGGGAAGATCCCACCGGTTATCTTCCTCCCGGGTCCGCATCGGACACCAGCCCCCACCCCCACGCGCGCTAGCTACAGTTCGTTGCGCCCGGCCCCAACCCCAAGGCCGTTGTTTTCCCACGCCCGCACGCATGTCGTGTTGGTGCATGCCTACCTGCCTGCCTGCCGTGGTTGCGCCCTTACGCAAGGATCCCGTCATCCGCACGGCCGCGCGCGCAAGTACCACGACCGCGGCCCGCCAAATCCCTCGCCTTCGCGTGCGCGCGAGCTGCTAGCTAGCTCCACCGGTCGTTCCAGCAGCCCCTCTCGCCGCGGTTGCTGAAATCTTCGCCCGTCGCCGGGTCTCTGCCGCGTGGCGTCTCGACCGTACGGCCGTTCGGTGGTGGCGCCGGCAGGGTCGCCGTCACCGGACCCGGAGCAGGCTCTAGTTACTGCACTTCACTTCCTGTAACAGGCAAGACTACATACAGCACAGTTAGCCAGTCGCCCGGCCAACCAACCAACCGGGCAAAGAAACCAAGCAGAGAAGCAATCAGATACGGCGAACTACGTTGCTCCGTTCCAATCGAACAGTTGATTACTTATATCGGTGCGCGTGCGTGCACAGTGAGAAGTGAAAATCCGCTCCCGGCATCAGCTACAGGGCCAGATTTCTCCCGCAAGTCGGCAGCTTGGAAGATGCGACCAACCATGGAGATGGAGGGTGAGCAGGCCGGGCTACGGACCACCGGTCCACGCCGTCGATTGCCTTCGTCGGGCCTCCGGTTTACTGCTGATCCAAATCCAGCCCAACCAAATCCCAGGCCTCCTGGCTTTCCTCTGTCAGCATCAGGAGAAACAGTAGATTAGATGGTGCATGTAGCTCAAGGGAGAAACACTGCCTGGAGGATTGCACCTTCAGGTTACGGCTATTCCATCAAAGAGAGCAGCAGACAAGATTAGCATATTTTGCTTCAGTCCACAGAAGAGATGCACCAACAATGCCTTGCTGCCCACCAATGTTAACCGCAAATTCTAGGACATGGATCCATACATTTCTGAGGGTATTTTCCAGAAAAAAGCAGAGGAAATGGAAAAAGGGTGGCGGGCCTTTGCTTCTGGTAAGAGACGTCATCGGCAGACAGAGTAAACATCTGCAGGTACGGAACCGATCGTGCCGACATAGAGACTAGACCAGTAAATGACCGCGTCCTGCAGCAAAAATATGATGTCAATTTGGTGATGTGATTTGGGAATCGAGACGAGAAGCCTTCTGAAGAAATCTTTCATGCCCCGAACGTGTCGAGTGTCTGTCGACTAATGCGGTTTAGGTCTTAGGTAGGTGTATCTTGGTAAGATGAAAACCAATTGCTTGCCTCAGGTAATCTTGTGTAGGAGGCAAGCAAAAAATGTAAGTAGATGTATATGCTGCTACCAGAATCTGAACAATATGTCAAAAAAAGAAAAGAATGGTAACAACACGTGTCCAGTTGATAGAACTGATCGTCATAGCATTTGAGATTTTGGCAGCCATCGATTCAGTTGGTTCGTGAAGGCGCCAGCAGCTACTACTGAATAACAGAGCCAGTCTACATTGAACTGCATCCATACTAACTGTGGTTCAACCGTGAAAGATAACTCGAATGTTCCACAAAATACCCAGTTTAACTGTATTCATGAAACACTTCACGTTTGAGATTTTACAGATAACGGGGGGCGGCACTGGCAAAGAAGATAATGGAGATGGACACTTTGACGTAAGAATGAGATTCCTCTAGCCTCTAGGTGGTAGGTCACTTCTATCATGTCCTACAAGAGACTTACGCCACACAAGAACAAGATGACAAGATCTAAGGCAGAAGCTAGCAACGGAGTACGTGTTTGCGACGCTTAATGACTCCTTGCGAACCCCACATCCATACTGATTGCA